CCCTCTCTCAATTCGTCGGACACGCGGAACTCCTGGGCGACAGTGGCCAAAAAGAAAAAGCTGGCACGCGGTACACGTGATATGCGGACTGCAGGCAGCGGAGACGTCGTGATGTCAACACTGCAGCTGAAACGCGTCATGAAGCCAGACAGAGAGAAAGAGAAGAAAGACTTCTGTTTACACGGCATCCCCCCTCTGGATCAGACCAACATTTGTCACTTGAAGATTACGGAAAAGATCTCAAATGTGCAGTTGAATCAAACGGGATCTCTGTCACATTTGTGTCTATTTATTCTGCTAAAAATGGTCGTAAGAACGGCTTGTTTGCGCGTGTTGGTTCGTTTGCCAATGAATCAGACAAGTAAGATAGAACAAGAAAAACAAACAAATACCATTATGGGGTACACGTTATTATAGTAACAAATTAGGCGAAAAATAAGCATGTATGCAAGAATCAAATGCGGCAAAAAGTGGTTAACTGGAGAAATGCCGGAAATAAATGCAAAATTACCCGAGATGATGTCCTTTTCGTGGGGCGGTGTCCGCGCTCATTTCTCACAGAATTTCCGGAGAACTTTCGTGTCCGGATCCGCGAGGCACATCTGCATGTCTCATCCCCGCTTCCTGCTGAGGCAGCATTTCGGCCGGTCGTCTAGCGCGCTTGCGCCCTTTAGTTGGCGCTTGTCCGGGGGCAACACGGCGCAAGGTGGATGCGGCGTGACGGACGCGGGCGCTCTGTTGGTGTATGGCAAACGGCTGCTGGGAGGTCACAGTGTGAACAGACCCGTCGGTGAGACGCACACGCTGAACCCGTGCGTACTCACACTCAACTCCAGGTGGCCCATCGTTAATGGAGACCACCGGGAAATAGCCCTCCTGGTGAACAACTTCGACGATGTCATCCAGTCGGATGGTGATGCGCTTCTCAGGGCGGATTCCAGGGTCACCCAAAAATTCGGCGTAGGCCACCAGGCGGTCCTCGGCGGCGGCCGCTTTCGTACCGACACCCATAATATCGGCCACGGTGTAGGTAGGTTGCTCGTCGGTAATTCCGCTGCACATGCGGTCGATGACGATGAACCGGCGTCCAGGACGTGGCTTCGTATACACGTCAGACCCATTCAAAACAACCTGGTCGCCCAGGTTAAAGCGGTATCCTTCCGCTGGCGTCTTGGGCTGTATGGCTTGAATAACGTCGGCATGGTACTGCTCCAGTATGCCATGGATTTCGTTGAGGCGGCGGGCACAGGCTTCGTTGTCAGCGCTGCAGGCACTCAGGGCGCGGATTGACACTGATCTTGTGCCTTAGTTCGACAATTCTACAGCCAATCGGGCCACCGGATTTTGCGGACATTTGGCCACCACATGACCTGTGTGTCCGCAGCAAAAACACGTCCGCGAGGAGCCTGCAGACGGAATTGGAGCGGTGATCGGTCGGTGCCGTTTAGGAGAAATGGATGGCATAATGTCACCGTCCATGTCACCGTAGGCGGTCGTTGGACGAAGAAAGTTCCAGCGGGATGCATTTCTGGCGGCCGCTGCCTGATGATCACGGCGTGATGGCTGGCCGTATGACGGGGATCGTTCTCCCCTCTTCGCCACCATAATCGCTCGCGAATCGTATCGGCTGACGATCCATGGCGCTCGAATCAACTAGTGTTGATAAAATCGGGCATGCATAAGGTAAACTTCGGGAAGTATACGGCGACAAACTGGAATTCAGTAAACGTTCGGAAACTTGCGGACTAGTGACTGCTGATTGCACTACTGGACGGTAAATGAAGTGTGCACGCAGTGCGGTAGACCGGCTGGCCTCTTTATGCTCGAATACGATTGGCGCGGTGTTGGGTTGGGGATTTCCACTGGCCGGCACCTTTGATGTGCGGCATCCTTACTGCGGGGAAATCGGCCTTCATAGCCAAACAAAAGATCGGTAGCGTCGGGCTGGCACTTTTCAAAAGGTTTTCACTGGTTGTGCGTGATGTGGATAAAATCAAGGGAAATACGGAATTAACTGTAACGTTTTGCGCTTGCTGTTCAACGTTTGTTTTAGCGCTTGCCAGAGATGGAATGGTTCCCGTAATAATGGACATCTTTTTAGGTTTTCGCTGGCGGCGCTTTCGTACGGCATGGTCAGTTGGCATCTGTTGATGGATTTCCGCTGCAGAAATTTCGGCGCATCCAAATGGTAAAATATCGGCTAATGGCAGCGGCGGCGGTATCCCGTGGTCGTTATTACACTGTGGAGGCGATATCGGTTCGGGTTGTTCCGGCAGTACCGGTATTGCATTCGGGATACCGTAATCCGGTTGTTTAACGGTGGAAGACGGACATTCGATCTCGTACTCTTGAGGCGGTTGGCCATACCACAGCTTCGGCTTCATTCTTTCGTAAAACGGTTTCAAACTGGCTCCACTAACCTTTTGCATTCGTTCGTTGGTCTGAACGTGGACAGTAGTCGCCATTAGGAGATACGGCGTTGACGTGACCCACTGGCGTCGCCGCTAGTGTTTTTTTGGCTGGTCACTCTTCAAGTACACTTTCTCCGTAACGGGTCCAAAATCCGCTGGTTTGGTTGGGCAGCGATCGCTGTGATGACCCGGAACACCGCAGAACCAGCACTTCGGTGGTTTTTGCTGATAAGGACGTCGCTCTTGATCGCTGGTACGGGCTGGTTTGAGTGGCTGCGGTGGGCACGACGATGTGGGCTGCTCGGCCGGCTTGGGCTTCTCTGCCGATGTCGGCACCGGTTCGCTGGTGCGGGCCGAAAAAGACGGTTTCGGTTTCCATTTCTGCTTCTCCGGCTTCGATTCCGCGGTGGGTTTTGATCGCCGACTCAACGTTTCGTCAATGGCCACGGCCCGGCGCATGCGGGTCTGGAAATCGTGGATGGTGGCCGGTGCAAAGCTCACGATGCTGCGGTAAAGCTCAGGATGGCCGGCCAGGCCTGTTGGTGAGAAACCCGACCACTTCCAACTCCGACATGTCCGGGTTGACGGCAAAGGTCAACACTTGAATTGCCTCAATGCACTGGTCCGGTGTCTCCGAACCGGTGTACTGGCGCTCTTGCAGAGCCAACCGGGCTTTCCACGCGCGGTCCTGATCATGGAAACGATCGATCAGGACTTTCTTCAGTTCGGTGTACGTCCGGTCTGGCTTCTGGGCGTCGATGCGCATGAACACTTTTAACGCTTGGCCTCCAAAATGGGATGGTATTGCTGCCAGCTTTGCGGTATCGGTCCACTGATTGGCCTTGGCAGCGCGCTCGAACAGCACAAACCAGTGCTGAATGTCCATGTCGGAGTCAGCGAACGTCGGCGGTTTCACAAACTTCAGGTTAGACTTCGGTATGGGCTGATGCGGTGCTTCGGTGACGTACGCTAGACGCGGTTCAGCGGCAGCTTGACGCAGCGGTGGTGTTGGACTCGGCGTTTGCGGTGACTTCTTGCGCCGTTCCTTCTCGAAAGCCTTGGCCAGGGTATCAGCCAGTTGATCCGGATCCAGCACCATTAGATGCTGGTTAGCTGTCGGTGAACACTCGGGGCGGTTGGCGCGGTATTCCGGAGACGGTCGTGAAACCACTGTTTCAGCCATCGGTGAGTTACTGCGACTATCGGACAGACGGGAGTTTTCTGCGGCCAGCTTCGCATTCTAGGCCTGCAGTTAGGCGATGTACGAGGACCGATCCTGGAAAACACGTTCATCCTTGGGGATGGACGTACGGCCATGGGCGGTTGGCAACACCGCAGCAAATGGCGCTGCCTGCGGTTTTAATGGCGGAGCAAAAGAAATTTTTGACGGTGGCCAATGAGTTGCCGCTTTGGATGGACATGTTTGAGGAGTCGGACGACCGGCGGGATTGCTGAGAAGGAGCTGGGGGAGGTTCGGCGTGAATGTCAGCCACGGTGATGATAGCGTCGGAGTTCATCCTAGGACTGGAGACTGCACTTACTTGCTGGCCCGGTGTGTTCCGTGCGTGCTGATCTTAACGGCGAATAGACTGTGGTTCTTTATCGGCCATGGACATGTTAGACGACGGACGCGGATGGCTGTTCGGTGCAGGTTCGAATCCGTAGCGGACGGGTTCCTTCTTGTTACGCATTGGCTTCGACATGGTTTCTGAACGCCGATGAATCGTGAACGTGATTGGCCCGAAAACCCTTCGAGCGGGGTAATTCTCAAATCCGATTGGTCGGTCACTGGCTCCGCCTCTTTTCGAGTCCGCGGTAGACGCTAAGTAGATGTAGGGAAAAACTTCGGAAACCTTCGCGGTTTTGACTTGGTGGCTTCTCTCCGTTGGTGCAAATGGTGCCAGAAATGAATGGCAAAATTAACTATCGGTTCCAGGATAAAATCGGAGAGGAAGATGCGGAAGATTGAGTGCTTCGGATAATGGTTCCTAGATTATTCCTCGTTGCGAGCTGGTAGGCTCAAGCAACGCGGTAACAACTAGAGGCTTCCGTTCCTCTATGTTACAGGTGGTGGTGTGTATAACGGTCCCGTAATGGGAAGATCAGGCGAAAGAGAAAAACTGGAACAAAACTGTGGTTTTATTCATAAACAAAAACATCATCGGAAGACAAATCTGCGCGATGGTAATGCGCTGGAAAAATCACAGAGAAAAATCAGGTGAAAAAATCAGAATGATATCATAATCGGAAAAAGCACACTCAACTCGATCGGATATGCCGATGAGGATAAACAGAACAGGGAATCACACCCTATGCGTCATCTACTCTCACACTTGGTTGGCATATCTATGTTTGTGTTCCTCAATATTAATAATTTTGGCATGTAGCCAAAACAATAACGTAAAATTTTTAGCTTGATAATATCCTGCATAATGAATAGAACAAAAGTTTCTTTGAATCGGCGAAAAGTATTACGGTAAAGACGAACAATTTTTAAAAGCATTTTTCAAAAGAAAGGCCTTCCAGAAATTTTTGAAGGTGTACATGTGTGGAAGTACAGCAGACTTGTTACTAGGAGACAAATAGACTTTGAACCTTTCTCTGCTAGTCACATGGCTTACTTCTAGTCGCTCACTCTGCTGAAGAGTCCGTTTTTCTGCTTGTGTTCCTGTGTTGCTTACCTATTTACTATTTTATTTACTTACATAAATCTCCCGTACTGTCGTCTGGTTAGAACGGACATTATAGGATACGCGTGGGCGCATCAAGATACGTGGTAACTGGTACGTGAAGTTAAGTACTGCATCAAATACAAATTATCTTAAAGGGCGTTAAAATTGTATTCAGTGTTGTGGCATTCGGGGTCTTAGGGATTTTTGTACGTTGAATTTCTCCAATATCACAGTATTAAATTCAAGCCTCGCTTTTTCAAAAAACCCCAAAGTTTGGAAATTGATCCATCTTCAAAACATTTTGAGACAGCATACTGAAATAATATAAGCCAAGAAACCCCATTACCGGACTGATTTCGATTTGAGTCTGGAATATCGGTGTTGGTGAGTGAAGTCGTTGGAGCAACCTGTTCGTTCTCTTTGCATTCTTTTGTGGTTAGGCTGTTTCGGGAAGAATTACGCTGCGTGAGAATTCTACCAGCTCTCACGCTAGCATCCTTAATCATTACGTAGAATATCATAACGATGATATGGTATTTTACCAGGCGCAGCTAATTTAATCGTTTTTGCTTGAAACACGCACAGACAATGCTAAGTTTTCTGAAAATGCAAAAACATGCATTGTTAAGTATGTATTTGCAGTGATTCGCTGCCAATGCTTATTGCTCTCTGTGTTAGAATTTGGGTGGTTTGCTTTAATGAAGAGTAATTCAAGCATCGTAAACATTGCAAACGTAGTATCTATACTCAGTAACATAGTCAAATTGACTAAACTTTTGAGTAGCAACTTCTGCTTGAAGGTCGATGTATGGGCTGGGTGCCAACATGAGTAACAGATATTAGGAACGGTTACACTCATTAATTCTAGCACTCTGCCATTGCACGGTTTGCAATGGCAGAGTCTTGCACCCAAAGAAGTCTTGCTTTGATGTATGAACTATGATGTATCAGAAACTAACTGTCGTGCGAAGAGTGGTTAGCCAGACCGCACTAGCTTTGATTTTGTTTTATTTCTTAGATGGTTCTTAACTTTCTAGGTTTCTTTGGTTTTCTTAGCTTCTTAGTTCCTTTGGTTTTTGGAAGCTTATGGCTATTTTTAAGCGAGTTTCTTATATTATTGTACGCAGTTCCGATCTGTCCCCCTGTTGTAACATTGAGCGAACGAGGTATTTCTGGGTTTTGCGATATTTAGCGCCTGCTTTAATACCTGAAGAGCTTTTCACTTTCCCCACTGGGTAGTCCGGGACCAACATTTTAGAGTGAAGAATAGAAAAACTTATGAAGAATAGAAGTACATATGAACTCCAAAATCTAGGTCAATAGGTCGCGCCCGGTTTAATTTTTACTAGTATATCAGAATGATGAATATTTATCCGAATGGATGATGAAGAATAACAGCTACAAATCCAATCTTCCCGACTTAACCGCATTCTGTCCAGCTTTCAAGTTCGCTGTTCCGTTACTCTGAAGTTCTGAGCAGTTTGTGGTGGGTTGGATTGCCGATTCTGGGGGTTCGCTAAGGGAGCGCTTGGATGGCACGGATTTTTCTTTGTTCTCCATGATACTGCTCTTCCGCGCTCCATCTTCAGAAACTTCGCGAAGAACCCACATCTGCTTTTGTGCGTCCTGAGCGCACATCACTCGCTACGCTTAGAGCATCTTTGGCGATTAAAAAGCGAGTACAGCGGGCGGCGAAGTTCGGTTGATGCCGCTAATCGGCTTTGTTTCATAAACACGTATTGCCATCTGTTGTGTTCCGAGCAACTTGGACATATTTGGAAATATTTAGAAATATTTAGAAATATTTGGAAATTTAAAAATATTTAGAATTATTTAAGGTCGTTGGTTTTACGAGATTTTTTTGTAACTTATAGGCTTTTTTCCTTTTTGTTATAGTGCCATAGCTGTTCGGCATCGCGTAATTTGACGATGTTTGGTTCCGCGACTAAACAGTCGTGGCAGTCCATACTGAAAAAGCCTGAAGTCTCTATGGAGAACGAGGAGTATGAAGTTGAATGTATCCGAAAAAAGCGATACCGGAACGATCAGGTGGAATACTATGTCAAGTATACCGGGTATGATGAATGTGAATCTTGCTGGATCCCGGAAAGCGATCTCGACAACGCGCGCGAAGCTGTGGCTACATTTGAGCGGACATCAAAAAGGCGCAGAGAAATCGGTAATGTTCTGGCTAGTTGACTAAGACCTTCTACGTTGAGGTGTTGTCATGACAACGATCTGTAATAGAAAATGTACCAAGTGCGGATACATCGGTGCCGAGCGCAAAACTGCAGCGTCCGCTTCCGACTGTCCCAACCACTGGTTTTGGCTCTCACCGCTTCAAAGAGCGCAAGGACTTTGAGGTAAGGGACCTGTACATCTATCCCAACCGCTTTGTTAGCGGGTACTTGGCTTATTTTATGGATGGCACACGCGTTTGGCCGCGCCGCGCGCGGACATTCTACGTGAGGTTTGTTGCGTAACGTGTGCAAATAGATACGCGGAAAACTCGTTTCCTAGAGCTGCATAAGGAACGGGATAAAATAAAGCTTACAAATCTGCGTTATCTAGAAGGAATTTTTTTGGCATTCAGCTGAATAACAATGAAATCATTAATCGTTTCAATCTTTGAATTTCAAGGACCAGAAATTCGCTCAGGCAGAAAAGTGAAGGAGGTTCTCAGTAACATCGAGAAGTCCGTACAGTAGGTAGCGTGCCAGCATGTTCTCAGATTCTTCATACTTTGTTTCTTCAATCGTTGTCTTGTGAACCCTGCGTGGAAAACGCTCTGCACCTATCTGTAGCTCGGACCCCTGCTGAATTTGTATAAATAGGCCGTGGAGGTTTTCAGTTTGCCGGTTTCTGTTTGCAAGTTTTGCCACTTTCCCATAAGCCAGACCGCTGCCTCAGAACCGCTCAGAAGCTCGAAAAATTAAAATTCAGGCAGAAGCGTTTATTACGTTCCACTGGAGCCAAAATGATTCACAGCGTCAGTTTCTCAGAGGGACGGGCGGTATACAGCCATGCGAGATTTAGTAATAAAGTAGTAACGAGATTGAGCATGTATGTGATGTGATGCCCTATCGATATGCGCACGCCGGCACGCGCACTGTACCACTTAAGGGAGCAACGTCCTTAATCACTTAATCACCTAGGACGGAAGCAATTGGGAATGCGATTTAACCACTTCGAAACTGCGACTGAGATTGAGCTTCGTAGTTATTTCTCATGAACGACGATCTTCCAGTAAGCGCGAGTCATTAGGGAATTTTAGATTTTCACATGGTTCAGGCTCCGTCCACTAGAAACTACTGCGTCACATAAACAGTACGTTACCAGACTGAAAATCGTTTAAAATGCTTGTACGGATGCACACTTGCAGTGACTTACAGCTGAAAAATAAATCGAATCGAGAGTGCCGAGAGCGTGACCAACCTGCTCTCGGGGAGGCGGTTAGAGCACACAAAAAAGATCCACAGGCAGCAAACGCTGGCTTGTCGCTCAGCCATACGGCTGAGCCGTTGCACAGATCCACGCAAGGCAGATAGTTTTTACGCGTCAGCCAACGACGTTAGGTTACGGCGCCTTACGTCGCGAACGGACGTAAATCGACCCGTAACGCCAACTTCTACCCGCAAGTCGAACTGGACGGAACTTGTTTTGTGAAATCTGAAATTCGCTATTAGCTCTCGTTGCACACACCGACCGTCGCTACTACCGATTGTTAGGCGTTTCGCAAAACAAAAACTGCTGTTTCATTATGAGACAACATATTCAAAAAATAGTGCTCAGTTTTGCAGAACCTGGGCATCCTCACACAGTAATAAACGCAGTCTGCTTTCATTTTACGGGCTTCTCCTTTGCTGCGGGGTAGTAAAGAGCTGTTGTTCAAGCCCATATGTAAGCGCTGGGTATTTCCAAAACGCTACGGAATGTTTTCTAAAAAGCGGATGAAGTCGCGTCTGGGGATGTACTGGCAAACCTCTTAGTGCCCGGAGGCAGTCGCAAATGCTTTTTTTCCGATTTTTCAGTTCTTGTCTGGGGCGGTAAAGAGTTTTCGAGACGTACCGTTCTCTTATCCGTCCCGCTGGGAAAGCAGTAAAGGGTTTGAATTGTTATTGGTCAAATCATACTCGTTACATAAATGTTAGAGAAAAAGCGCACAAAATTACGACAGAAAAATTTCGTGCAGCCTATCCTGCCCTTCCATGGTGCCAGCACTGACGTTCCTTTCCGCCTTGGATTTGTATCGACAACCGCTGCCGTAGAATTTCGTGCGAACGTGCTTCTCCCGCGTGTGTGTTCAGTGTCTTTTTCTTATCTCTTTGACGATTGCAGTTGCCGACGGTCCTCATGGACCAAGCGTCTCGAAGGCGATCGGTACGATAGGTAACGGCCATCCAGCTAAGAGTAAAGTCTGGACTTCTTTTGCGCTTGCACGGCGGCTGCGCCCGCGATGGCGGAAGTACTGCAGCTTTGACATGCGATGGCGTAACCGTGTCTATGCATGCTACGTCCCATGCGAGACACATTCGGCGTTTCCAAGTGAATGTCCTGCAGCCGTACGGGCGGCTTTCGGTAGTGCGGGTGGTGCCGCGCGGCTCCAGTTTTGCAGGTACACCAGCGGATACAAAAGCTCTGCAAAAGTTGCTGTTTAACCCTCCGTGACGCGCATGCCGTCCGACGGAAAAGGCACGTGACATGATGACAACCCGTGGTGTCCCCTAGCCATCAACTGCTTTATGGCATTTAGCGCAGTGAGGAAGGTTGCAGTGTATCAGATCGTGGCATAGAGATAGAGACCAACAGTGATCTTTAGTTCGTCGTCACTAGGCAGATTGCCGATGTCAGCCGAAGGCAGAGCGTTTAGCCAGGGGCCGGCTTCCGGCCTAGACTAGACAAATAAACGCGGTAAACGCGCTGTATTGATCTCATTGCCTTGAAACAGTCCCAGCAGGGTAGATAAGGAGACGTTGCATAACGGTAAGTCCCAGCCCTTTTGAGGCTTCCGGAATGTAGGTGCTGGGTGCACCGGCTTCCTTCCTTCCTTCCTTCCTTTTCCTTGACAAATTACGGATGCGATGGCGTTTTTTCCGGGCTTCAATTACTAAGTACAGACAACCGCAGGGCAAATGCGATAAACTCTTGGATATTTATCAGCAAAACCGCACACCGCTAGCTGAGCTGACCAGCAAGCTGAACCACGTTAGCTATGTGAACGTTCACAGTCAGCATCTAAATTTCCAGAGGCCAGAGGGAATGCCAGCGAGATCTCCTAATGCGTGAACTGTTTCGAGAGATTTTTTATTGTGCATAGTACTGCACGTCGGCCCGCCTTTTCCTTACATTTAATCGCTTGGCAATGTTTTCAGGTTACCAAGGAAAGTACTCGTCAGGCGCAGCGTAATGCGGTAATACCGACCGCAGCACAGCCAGCTCCATTGGAGCGCTTGTCGAATCGTGATTTTGGACGACCTTCGAAGGGACACCGCAACGGACGCTCGGTTAAAGAATCCGGATTTTTTCCCCAGGTTTGCTGACAGATTGTGATACTAATTACTCTGCATCTGCTCCTTAACATCCGATTAGTAAAGGAATGGTGAACTGGGTGTAACGTACACCCAGTTTTCTAATGAAATAATTATAAGGGGATGACAATCAATGAGTAATATTTTGCCTGTAACACTAGTTTTCACTCTCGTTTTTCGTAGGTGTCGATCACCGGTCAGATAAGCGCTCCGCTTCCGGCATCGGTTCCACATTCCATTGCCGTGGTCACTAACGGACAATCTGGCGTCGAGCAGGGCAAACTGGTGGTAAACATCATCGCCTTTAAACCGGCACAACTGCGCATCCGCTCACTCAACGATGTGCAGTACTTGATCAATTACGCCGATCATCCGCAGGACTTCGTGCCACATGCTGTATGCATCCAGCACATCCCGGTGCATGTTGCAGAGTATCTCGCTCAAACTCCGATTATGTGGCTCCAGCCGGATTAGAGCTGTATTCGTACAGAAATGCCCATTGCAGGTGATTAACGGTGGTCCGCTGACTGACGTATTGGTTTTACAGTAGCGCCGCTTCTGGCACCGAGTTCTTCCGTCAGGATGTACTGTATCTCGTGGAATGAAATCTCATTTCTGTTTGTTGTTCATCATGTCCTGATAGAATTTCCTGTGAAACTTGTGATACAGATCCTCCCAAAGATAAGTTTCCTAACTTAATTCCCACTTCCCGTGGATAAAAAGGCTCAGTATTTTTTTGCATTTGTGATGCAGTGATGCATTTTTGGTTTTTGTCAGAACTAGTAGTGGTGGCTACAAAACTCTGCGGTATTAAAGTGCTGCTTGAGTTAGCGCTGTATACGGTTAACGGTTTTTGGCGAATAAAATATAAATACTGCATTAACGATTTTTGCATCGAATGACCGAAAGACCAACTTGAATCGACCGCAACCGCAATTTAATATTCAGCGCTTCGAGAGAGCTAACAACTGGTTAAAATAGGATGCAAGGTCACGAAGTCTACTAAGACTAGGACTATCTCAAACGACAAACAGATTTCTGTGCGGTCATATTGCAGAGAAGAACGTCCCGTAGGAACGAAAAAAGAAACAACACTCAGCGAGTTTAGCAGGGTTGTGCCGTTGTGGTGTGTCGTGATTCTTGTTATCTTACTTTGTGCGTAATTACTGTGCTTTTCCGCCTTAGCAACTTTCCGTTGTATTGCTTGTTATTGTACTTATTCCTTATTCAGTGGTTCTGCTGATTTTGCCAGCAGCTGTTCATGACACTGCCGTCTGATGCTCCTTCATCTGCTCCTGCTCCAGCATTTCAGGCTGGTCGTCAGGAACTGTAGGCGTCAGCGCTTTAGTGACAAGCGGTGCGCTCGGTTCTTCGGGTTCAAAAGGTACTGTCGGTGCAGTTGGTGTACCGTGCATTTCCCTTGCATTAGGTGCTTTCGGTGTTGCGCGCTCATCCGGATGCAGCCAATATCGCGGCCGCATCTGATCTTGATATCGCTAACAGTTTAGTTAACAAGCACTATCCATATGCGTGATCCTTCCCGCTTAACCAGGTGGCTTCTTTGCCAATCGACTGTTCGACTCCGCTGGCAATTTCGCACCATCACGTAATCCCCAACTTGGAAATTCGTTGCCTTTGTTTGCATGTCGAAGTCCTGCTGGTAGCGTCGCCGGTTGCTTCCGTCGTGGTCAACATGGCACGCGCCAGCAAGTCCACCTGTGAACGCAGCTTCCGGTAAAGGAAAAATTCTACGGGACTTCCCTGTCGGAGGAGCGCTTGACGATGCCGTCCTTGAACGTTTTAACAAAATGCCCAGCCTGGCTGTTCGATTATGGATCGTCAGGCGATGTTCGCAGATGACAGACACCGTGTTCCGCGCATGTAGCCGGCAGGAAGGTGGACGGGTGGATGGTGGATCCTCAATGAAGGTCATCCACCTTTCTGTAAAGGTCATCCACCTTTCTTCACAGTCCGTCCACCATTCTTTAAATGTAATTCAAAATTATGCAGGGGAATACCTCGATCTTAGCCTATGCGCACCAGCGTATTTGTCAGTCCAAATGGCAATAAGCCTGCTTTATTTATTACAGTACGTCTGTTTATTGGATCAAGCAAGTAGGCTAACAGTATCACGCATGCAGCGCATATGAACATACAATCTGACTAAATGAGGAGGCTACGGTCTATGTTAAAAAGCCAGCGAACAGCCTTTTTTGCCCGCTGAGGCGGGTTGATCAATGCAGCCTCTCTGTTGTGACTATAAATAGACCGAAGACAGCGCATTCCAGTGCTGCCAAAAAAGCGCAAGCGGAGTGCTGCCTTGCTGTATCGATCGATCGGCACATGTGTGTGTGAGTGGGTAAATCCGCTCGCATTCACCTACACACGTATGAGTGTGGCTGTCTGTGCGCGTACTAGCTGTACAAACCGGTTTTCGCTGTCTTCGCTACAACGCATACCCTAAACCCGTAGCTTCCTTTCTTGCTCGCATTGTAGTCGCTCTGTCGGCAAATGTTCTTGCAGATGGTAGAAAAGTCCTTAACTTCCAAGTCTTCCATTAAGTAATTTTTTTCATGGCTAGCATTAGTAAAATTCACGTCTTCTTGTGACTAATCGGTTACTATCGGTGGCTATCCCATACGCCTCTAATTTTAAATCATCAGTAAAAAACGAGCGACATAAGCGAAAAGTTATTACTGTACGCTATTAGAGGACAAAACTGCCAAAAACGAATTAACATACCCACCGATCTGTCGATCTGATGGCGGCTACCATTGATCCATCCAGTTGTTGCTCTCAAAGAAATACATTGAGAAAAATGGCTTCGTAGTTAGATCAATGGATATAGCCGGCAGAATGGTGGATGAGAAAGGTGGATGACCTTTCCAGAAAGGTGGATGACCTTCATTGAGTATCCACCATCCACCCGTCCACCTTCCTGCCGGCTACACGCGCATAGGTCGCCGAACTCCTGCGAAGTGAACTGTGTGAATTGTGAATTGCCCGCTGCCACTTCGACATACGCACCGTATCGGGTGAACAGGTTTCACAGCGTCTCGAGAACACCATCGGTAGTGGCGAGCTTCATCTCTACGACCTCCGACTACTTCGACAAGGCATATGATGAACATCGTCCCGTTGAGCGGAATTTCTAACTTCTAAGTTTATGTGGACCCGCTTCCACGGAGCATCGAGAACTTCCTACTGCGACGGCGCAACCTTGGCGGTTTCCTTTGCTCGCCCGGAGCAGATACGGCACTGTCGGGACATGTTCTCGGTGACTTTGCTCATTTGTGGCCACCAGCAGTATCCCCGCGCTTTGCCCTTCATCTTCCCCGATCCCATGTGGGCGGCATCAAGGCAGTCAAGTATCAGCTGCCGGTGTTTCGCTGGTACGACTGTCCGGGAGCCCCTGCAGATGCAGTCGTTTGCCCCACCAGCTAGTGTTCGAGCCGTTTGTAAAGACTCAAATATTTCTCAAAAGAGGCAGTCCACCCATTCATCATTCATGACGTACTCGGACAGTTCCTGCTCGATGGTGGTCTCCCGCGCGATCGCTTCCACTGCCACAGGGAAAAGGCACACATTATCCAGATGGATGGCGTTGAGGCGTTTCACCATTCCCAGTCTGTGCAGTCCGTCTAATTCCGTCGAATGCAGCGGAAAGCGGCTAGGCCGTCCACCTGGCCGAAGTCCTCCGTCCGGAGGCATTCAGTGCTGAAGGAGTAGGCCATCAGCATGAGCCCCCACGGCTTTTGGCGTTCACCGTCACCACTGGAACTCCTTTCTTGGGACCGAAGACGCTGAATAGAGGGCCTAGCGGCTTATAGCTCCAGTACACAGGTTAAACTCGCGCCAGGCGATGTACTGATGAAACCTTCGGCAGGCAAAGACGAGTGTCCAGGCTTGCTTTTCATTCCCACCGTAGTTCTTCTCGGCCGCCGTCAGAGTCTTGGACGCATGGCCAAGCGGGCGTTCCGTTCCGTCTGGGCAACGGTGGAAAATCATGGCACTGACGCCACACCAGGGCGCGTCGGCTGCCAAAACCAATGGCATCCGCGGGTCATGTTCGACCCGGAAGGTCCCGCGGACAGTTTGGTCTTTCAGGGAAAGGAACTCAGACTCCAGTCTTTGGACCAAAACCAAGAAACTCTGGTCTTCAGGAGGGTTTGCATCGGGGAAAACTTTCCGGAAGGCAGCGGACTAACTTCCCGTACTGATTAACCAGTCCCAAGAACGCGCGGAGATCACTGACATCGGTGGGACGGGCCACTCTTGGAGAGCCTTTACTCGGTCTTCGGAGATGTGCTTAACTCGGTAGTCCACCGCGAACCCCAGGTACTACATGGAGTCCAGCAGGAAATGCCACTTGCTCCATTCGAGCGTGAACCCGTGCTCTTCCAGAGGCTGGATGATCTTTTTCAGATTTCTCAGGTGCTCCTTTTTGGTCGCTCCGGTGACATTGATGTCATCGAGAAAGAATGCCACACCCTCCAAGCCTTGGAGGACGCTTTCCGTTATCTGCTGAAAGATGCTGGGACCTCACGCTACGCAAAATGGAAGTTAGTTGTATCGGAACAACCCCTTATGTGTATTTAGCCCCATTAGGTTCTTACTATCGTTGGCCAGCTCGAATTGGCGAGCGCCAGGTGGTGAATTTCCGGCCACCATTGAATTTGTCGAATAGCTTATCCGGTGTCGGCTGCGAATACTGCTGGTCCAGGGCTTCTTTTAGGCCAGTAATGATATCGGCACTCGTGCGGATGTCACCCTTCCGCTTATGCATGGTCACCATCGGCGCAGCCCTGTCCGCCCTGTTGACCGGATTCAGAATTCCTGTCTCCCCGAGGCGGTCCAGATCGCGCTCGAGGGCTTCCAGGAATGTGAACGGGGCTGGCCGCGCTTTCCGGAACACCGGCCTGGTTCCGGGTTTCAGGTGCAGGTGGGCCCAACTCAGTGCATTGTCTGCAATGGCCCAACTCTTCGCGGAATGCGGCGCTGTGTTTCGCCAACATCTCCACCGTGATTTCGGAGATGGAGGACACGGTGCCGACTGGAGACCTCGCAGGCTCAACTGGTTGAGGTCAGGAGCCCGGGTTCAGTCTTTCCCCAGTGCATTTCAGCCGCTGTAAACCACGATAACGGGTAGCTCTTTCTTGTTACCTTCAGGGCGTGCCCCATGAAGTTTCACAGGAGGCTTGTGTAAGGCGTCAGCTTTGTTGATCGATCCAATCGACCGCTATGTCTCGACAGTCAATATATTGACGCTGGATCCGGTATTCAGAACTGGTGATACCGGAGAGGATAGTACGTACGCCTTGTACAACATCTTGTGCTTAATACGTGGCTTTTTCTATATAAATTTTTGCTTTCCGATTTTCACAAACATTTATTAGTCTGGCTTATCGACTTTCGGTTGATGCTTTTACTGTTCTGTACTTTACAATTTATGTTTGACTAATGCTGCTGTTTCTCGGCGGTTGTAGATTTATGCAGGATGATGTCATAACTGGACTTTTCGTAACGGACACCAGTGAAGCATTAAAGCTGAACTAGGAAGACCTCCGCATCGCTCCGGTCAATTGAACAGCCAAATTCCGGCTAGTACTGTATAGATAAAAGAAAAGAGATCTGTTAGTGAACTAATAGAAAAATACAATTCCCTCGGTTGATATCATCAATTTAAAATTAGGAAAGTAAAGTAGTTTTATAGGTAATCTATAAAAGTGGTAAATGAAAATCCAGTTCAAACTCAAAAGTATCCGTCTAAGATGACGTCCGTCCACGGGTCGTGAGTAGACGGTTACATATTATACGAAGTAAACGATCT